AGATCAAGAATACCTTAAACTTTGTTGAAAATATTTCATTAAGGGAAACAGATTTTTTGTGAGTCAGATCTAGAGAAATGAACAGAACATTCCTCCCTCAGTGTCACCTACAGAGTCCTTTTTAATTTTTAATAAATTTCTAAATTAAACTGATTTCTGCTTTTTATTTGCATGTAAAACATGGATTCTTGTTGTCTTGGACAACAGTGTACTTAATTCCTCTTTAGTGTCAAATCAGTGTCACTGTTGCATTTAGATAAGTAAAGTTGAACATGTTGCTAGCAGTTGTTCTAAGCCCGGTTATATTTACATTTCTTCTCATATATCTTCATTATATTTAAGAGTATTTAATAGTCATTAAATACTTCTTTTCATTCTGCTTATTTTTATGGAATAAATGTAGTTTTCTGCTCTGTAGTCTTTTTCTTTCTGTAAATCCTGGAAGTTGATTTCTGTCATCTAAAGGAAGTAAATCGAACCTTTAATGGAATTGTTATCTTCTTTCTGACTGACTGTTGCTCTTGAGAACCAGTTCTGCTTGTTAACATCACAGACTGAAAAATAACTGTAAACAAGCTTGCTTTAGAAGACTTAAAGTACTTTTAAAGAAAGCAAGGGTCTCTGACTTTTTTTTAAATTTTCTTGATACTCAAATACTGCCCTGTAGGTTTCATCAACCAGTACAAGCGATTGTAATTAGGTTTATGTTACAATCTTCTGCTCAAAACTGGTCATTTCAGGTATTTTCAAATAGTATAGAAACTAGATTTTTTAGTACTCCCATTTACTCCTGTCCATGAGGAAAAACTGTGTTTCTCATTCAATCGAGATAAATCTTGTCCATGTTTGCAAAGTGAAATATGCAATTAACATCTCTGACTTTTGGAGTTAGAGCTATTCTCTCCTGAATTTATTAATTTATTAACATTTAGAATTTATTAGTAATGAATTTCATCTGCCATTTTATCACCTCATTTGGAAGGACTGTAAAATCCTTCTAGAGTTCCTCAGAGTGAGCCCTTATCTTTGGCATCTGGAACAACTTGGTATTGTCAGAAATCTTTGTTATCATCAGTCCAAATCTCCTCCAAATCATCTATGGATCTACTGAAAAGCATGAATTTATGCGTAGATTGCTGCAAGGCCCTAGTAGTGATACTCCTCCTCTGTGATAATTTTTTGTTGCCCTCAGTTCCTATCTCTAAGCCATTATTTATTTCTATGGAAGCCACTGCAGTTAGGCTTTTCAAAAGCCAGTGACAGACCTTACCAAATACCTTTTGAAAGTCTAAGAAAACTGTATTGTCAGGCTTTTCTTGTCCATATTCTTCTTCTTCAAGGACCAACAATACATTTAGAATGCTATGTTATTTTTTGCAATATAAATGCAAATACTAATGCCCAGACATTTTTTGAAAATGGCATCACATTTCATTGATAACAGATCTGTTTTCATCAGGAGGGAGGGTACTCACTGAGGTTTTAGTAGCTTAGCACAGAGGAAGGAGTGTTCACCTAGGAATGGATGGAAACTCTGTAGACTGGCATAGTCACTGAGAAGGTTTTTGGGACTCTCTTCTCAGTGTCTTCGTTATACTAGATAATTAAACTGGTCCGCAAATGTTAATAGAATTCAAGATTTATAGGAGCTGATCTAGTAAAATGCCACAATTACAAGCACAACTAAAGATGAAAAAAAGGCACTGACTTTGTCTTCCATATTCTGCTAGATCACATTTCTTGCAAACATCAGTGTTTCACTTATGGATCTTAGCCTTTTCTGTGTCATAGGCTTTGGCTTTACAAAATCAAGTCTTTGATGACAAGGTTGTCCTGAGGTTTTCATGCCTTGCCCCCTACTCCTCCTTTCCATCACTTTACTGCAACATGTCACTTTCAGTTGTACAGGAAGAAATATCTGTACAACTATATTGTTATTTGGATCAGGATCTTACCGGACTTGTACAGAACAGAAGGTTGTTATTCTGTTTTACTCTTGATTGAAACACTGTTTCATTACTGTTCCTTACCTTCATTACCGTTCTGTGAAATTAGCATAACGCTGTTATATCCATTTGGGGTAGTTAAGTAGTATGCATTTTGAAAGTTTTGGACAAAAATCTCTGTAAGAGCAGTATATATCACTTTAATCAATTGCATTTTGAGAACACTTTGTGTTTGGATTTCTTTCAACCTGGCTCTGTGAATTTAAAAGAAGCCCTTGATCAACAAGATTAAGTAGATCACAACAATCGAAGCATTTTTATCCTGAGTGCCTGTTGCCCTACAGGAGACCTCCTCTATGTATCTTGTTCTGCTTCAGGCAAAGAATTTTCTAAAACAGTGGCCTCATTTACCACTTGAGTGAGATATATGAATACAAACTGAATTGGTTTTAATCTTTGGTTGTGAAACCTAAATATAAAATGGAATCTGTCAGTGCATTTCTAAACATAGATTCACAGGTGTATTTGAAAAAGAAAGGGAATATAATTAGAGGCCAGTGAACATTAGAGAAAAGTAAATTATCAACATAACTTTTATTACAACCACCAAAATTAAATTTAGTACTTAGACACAAGGTGGAGGATTGGGGAAACTGTAAAGTTCAGGTTATCGATGTGCTATCTGGGGAAGAATGTTCTGATTCGATCTCTTCTGTGATGATACATTGTGTCATGAAACAGATCCACTGTGTACTGGGAGAAATACTGTCATGTTTCCTGTCTTATAAAATCTATCAGTCCCAAAGATGAGAACTCTGGTTTCTATTACAGACAACATCTCAGATTGAGATAGGATTTTCCAAACTGCCACATAAAAATAAAATATACATATAAAAAATAAACTTACATAACTTCTAGGTCTTTTCTTTGAGATGTTAGAAATGTTACTCAACTAAAAGGCTTGAATGTTTTAAAATAATTATTTCTATTGCAAACAAGTGGTATATATCTTAAGAAAAATTTCTACTCTTAAGGGAAATTAGCAAAAGAACATTCTAAATTTACATCAGTTGCCAATAAAATGTAATTGAAGTTAAAAATACAGTGAATTAACATTCACTGAAGGCAATGAATTTGTATTTTGTATCGGATCATTGCTAACAAGCTAACAAGCAGCACTTTGGAAAACTTCCATCCCAAAAATATTCAGTGTTTCAAATATGCTTTCAAATTTCATAATTATCTCTTACTGTGGCTTTGAATGGTAGAAACACAGAGCTGACTCAGATACTGAGCATTTACATCAGATATTTAACCTGATAGCATTGTAAAATTCTCTTTTATTTAAGAAATTTATGATGAACCTCAGAAAAATATTTATTTGGAAAAACTGTAGCAGCACAAAATAAAATATGTTTGAATGAAAAATACTTCATTATAAACTTCAATTGAGCAATTATTTAAGCTGGAGGGTTGCTCATTTCTTGGAAAAATGTTATCCTAATCACAAGCGAAATCTTCAAGTTTATATATCATTAAAGGAGAAAACGTCAAAACTACCAAGCAACAGAACCAATGTATTGGGCTTTTTTTTTTCCAAGTTGCTATTTAAGAGAATGTTACAATTCATAGCTTATAGTCTAGATGACCAAAGTGAAATAGGTACCATTGAGCCAGGGAAGTCAGGAGCAGAAAGGTATCTTTAACTGAGAAGCAAACCAGTTGTTCACTTTGCTGTTATTGTGAAGATCCATCTCTTACAGCAGGCTTCCAGGCCAAGAGGCAACAGCCTAGCATGCTTTGTAAATTGGAATACTTGGGATATTATGCGTTTCCTTTATTTGGGCTGTGTAGCTGTACTGCACCAAGAGTCTTAAATGCTCTGCTTTATTCCTGTGTAAGGATACTAGTACTTTCTTCAGTTTCTGGTAAACTGTGGATATCAGTGACATTTTCCAGTGTGTTGAAATGTACTATTTTCATATACTGCATTAAAATTTTCTTCCTTTGATTCACATGGGAGAATGGTTCGTAGCGATGGTAGTACGCAGAAAATAATTACGCGATTTTTAGAAGATAAACGGATATTTGAAATTGATGTATCTTCAGGTCAAGGACTGCCTCTAATTCAATGTTTATAAAGTGCCTAATACAATCAGGCCAGGAGTTGGTTGACTGCTATGCATGCCACAGTCCAAATATTTAATAAGAATAACAACAGTTCTGTAGTCAATTTGATCTCACTTTTGATATTTACAAGTGTTTTCCTAACACACACTGCAGATTTCTGCAATTTGAAGGGATTCAGGCTCAAATTCTCAGTCTGTTTGATTCTATCATATCCATCTGCATCTATATCCGTGCAGGCTGCAATGTGTACCCTACTCTTATACCAGTATTGGGCAGCAGCAGTGAGCACAGCTGTGGGAGGTGTGCCCAGGTAGAGGGACTCCTTCACTTAGTGACAGGGTTCCTGAAGGAGGTAGGTAGGTTGAGAAATATCAAGGACAGTGAGAGAAAGAGACTACTGGAATTGCACCCTACCTTCTCTGAGACAGGCACAACAGGCAGACAGGATGTGTGATATGGAGAATTCCCTATCCTTTCTCCGCATGGGTGAGCACAGTGACTCAAGAGGTAGGGGGTAATGGTGACAAGTTCCTTCGCTTGTGCAACAGGCCCATCTCATCTGGGACTGCTCCACCTTCCCAGGTGCCCCTATACAATAGATAAAAGGCTCTGGAAGTGGTACCAAACAATAATGGGCATGATGGTTCAGCTAGCATGAAGGCGTCACAAATTGAACTGTTCTCTGCGTCAAAACTGCTTCTAGAAGGAAAAAAAGAACTTGCCATTGTAATAGGAAAGTCCTTTCAGCAGGGAACAGAAGGCTTAATATGCAGACTGGACCCACTTCTTTGGAAAGCCTGATGCCTCCCTGGGGCCTGGGTTAAGGATGTGAAGAGAAAGCTTCCTATCCTGGTACAGCCCTCGGATTATTATCCATTGTTTATTTTTTAGGTAGGCAGTGATGAAGTCTAGACAAGAAATCTGAGGACAATTCAGAGATTTCAGGGCCTTGGGACAGCTGGTTAAGGGATCAAGAGTGGGATCAGTCCCTTCCAGTTGCAGAGAATGATGAGGGAAGAAGCAGGAGGAGTCAGCAGATCAATACCTGGCTCTGAGCCTGATGTCACTGGAAGGATTTGGAGTTTTTTGATCATGGGTCAATTTAAATGACATGAGGCCTGCTGGTACCTCTGTCAAAATGTCTTCTTTGCCTCAGTCTTTAGGAGTAAAACCAATTGTTCTTGGAATATCCCATCCCCTGAGCTGAAGATATGGATGTGGAGCAGAATGAAGCCACCATAATTGAAGAGGAAACAGTCAGGGACCTGCTGCACCACTTAGACAGAGACAAGTCGATGGTGTCAAATGGGATCCACCCAAAAGTTCCTCCTAGGGGTAGCTGGACAGCCATTTCCACTTACATGACACACTGCATGCCTCAAAATAAGGTTTCTTATACTCTAGGACAGCTTCTGCAGTCAGGAAGAACTATTCCTGGACATGGGTACAATTTGTTGGTTAAGGATTAAGAAGCTGTAATTTCTGTCAATGATAATTTTTATGTCATTTAGTTAATTATTAGTGTGGATATGAATAATTGGTTTTATTAATTTATATTAATTCATTCATACAAGTGAATATAAATATTCATTCATGTTTTTATGAATGACATAATTGTTGTACTTAAAATACAAGTGTTAATGATACTTTCCCTACAAGTTCTGTTAGCTACTATTTATGTGTATGACAATTTAGTAATGAATAAATCTGTATGTTGGAACCCCAGAGGTTCCTTTTCCAGTCACTCCTTTATGAAAATGAATAATGCCTGTTTCTCTGTAAGAGAATGTTTTCCTACCTGAGACTTGGACCTAATCTTTAAAATTGTTTCTGGGAATCTCTCTTTGCTAAAACAACCTTAGAACATCTACCCACAAAAGCATATTTTGGAATAGGCAGCCTCTTTGCTGGAACTTAATGTAAGCATGCTGCATTGGTGGGCTTCCATTCGACACATTAATAAACTCAGAGACAATATGAAATTAACTGCAGCCTGGTGACTACAATAGAGACTAGCAAATAAGTAAGGAATTCAGTCTGTATTTTAATTTAGCAGTATTTCTCTAACTTGGAATCACTATGATGTGCAATAGTACTTTTATACTTTGGGCTCTCTAAGTGTTTTCTAACTGTAGTTTCAATATGCTGTTCACAAGCATGCTAGGAGGCATAAAGGGACCTTATTTACTAGTTGATTTTCAAGAGTTGTCTCTACGTATTGACTCAATCAGTCTACCCTGCCCTTGCTTTGGAGCTCTCACTCTGATTTTTAGCACTCAGCAGACATGCAGTAAGAAGCAGAAGCGGGCGGGGTACAGTGCATTTGCTTAAAGAGATGGAAAAAACGACATTGCTCCTGTGTGAGAATACTACTTCATTCCTTATGAAAAGACATTCCTGTGCACTGACAAAACTCAGCACCAGAAATACTGAATCACAGAATTGTAGAATCATAGAATGGTTTTGGGTTGGAAGGGGCCTTTAAAGGTCGTCTAGTTCCAACCCTCCTGCAACATCTTCAATCCTATTACTTTGGTTTGAAGAGGCAGTTCTTAAAGAAGTTGTTAGTAACCCATCTTCAAATTTTGGTGTGTTTTCTAAATGCTTATAGTTAGTGTCATGCTATGATATGTTGAGTCACATATGTATATACTTTCGTGATTATAAAACACAGAAATGAATATGAGCTTATCTTTTTCAGTTCTTTCTCTGTGCAATGATGTAAGCATCTATGTAAGTGAACAGAACACTGGAGAATTGGACCAATATGTAATAGCGTACCAAATTTGACAACTGCTTCCAGCTGCATTATTTCAGAGAAGCTTTTATAAATAGATGGATTTTGCAAGGAAAAAAATAAAAAGCATGACTCATTTTTAATTATAAGAGAGAATGTAAAGTACTTGCTTTTAGTAAAATTAAAAGAGAAGAGAAAATAAAGATATTTATGAAATGTCAAAGTGTCATAAGATTAGAAGGATAACACTGAAAGCTAAGAGAAAAATCTAAGTAGGCTAGACAAAATCTTTTTTTTTTCAGGAGTGTTTTTCTTTTGGAAAAAAAGCCTACAAGGTTTTTTTTGTAGGTTTTTTTCTATAAACATTTGCTTCATTGTACTGATTCTCAGAATAGTAGGAATTGTTAGTTGAATGAATAAAATGATCGTGAAATAAATGAGTACAAACATACAAACACTAATTGTTGCACTAGAATGTATCTGTTGTGAACCTTTGCAGGTTGTCTTGCAGTTGAACAGTTCCACTGGCCCCAAATGGTACTTACTGAACATTTATTTTTCATTTGTTTGGACCTCACCAGTATTACACAGGCAGCATGAGGGAATAATGAGCTGCATTCTTTGGGTTACTGAAGAGTCAGCACAAATTGTGGGAACAAATAACAATCAGACAAGGCAGTGTTTTATAACATCAGGACTGCAATCCATCTTTCAAAGCTGGGCTAATAAAGGCCCACTTACAATCCCCGGCAGAGTACAGTTTAATTAAATTTGTCCATTAGAGGACTCCTCCCCCTCCCTCTACATTTTAGAAATTAATTCTACTTTCTGCCTGTTGTTCTTTTTGCATCACAGATGCACTGAACCTTCGTAACCGACGCGTCCTCATCAGCACACTGAAAATCCTCCAGCACCTGGTGGCATCAGCTGACATGGTGGGGGAGGCCTTGGTGCCTTATTATCGGCAAATTCTCCCAGTCCTAAACATCTTTAAGCATTTGAATGGTGAGTTATCCTAACAGACACTGTCTTTCAACTCCTAAGGTAAAAAGGGGCTTGAGACAGGGTTAATTAACAATGTAGTTAAGATTTATTACTGTATATAAACTCAAATCCATTTGGAGCTCTAAATAATGTAAACTCTCCCTCCTACTATTCCCTAAGGATGCACTGAAATTAACAATTTCATTTATTACTCCTTGCACGTACAGTTTATTTAACACAGTACAGAAGCACTGAAGCAGTTCTATAATCTTCCAATAATTAAATTGTAAAGTTTTGTAACAGTCTTTTGAATACATTAATAAATTGCAAAGGTTTTTTCCTCCCTCCAACACATTAGTTCAGTCCAGCTGTTTTATTCCATTCTGTGCTCTCCACAAGCAATTCACTGCTACCAGAAAGTTTAGGAAAGATTAAAATTAAAATTAGAGATCAGACTAATTAATTTGAGGGTCAAGAGAACTCCTTGTTATAGAAAATTTCAAGTTACATAATATTTAGCAAAACAGTGGAGTTTGAAGTTATTACTGCACACTTAGGTTTTATTTTAGAGAACTTTAGAACTAATTTGTACATACAGTTAACTAAGTTGGTTTCTTTCTAGTGCATATCTCTATTGCCAGTCCCAGTCTTTAATAACTAGTACTATGAGTACTGTATGATGTGAATGCATTTACACCACAGTCACCAGCTGAAATCAATATGGTGTCTCTTGCTTTTGCCAAACTAATATCTAAAGTATTTTTCTCTAGAAAATCTATCTGTACTTATCTGTTCAATTATCTACCAAGTTACTGTATTTAAAATTTCTGTTACTGACTTGCAGCAGATGTAAAGAAATTTAATTCCTCACAATCTTTCGAAAGACATTTTTAATTAAATTCGTGGCATTTTAGTAGTTCTTTGCAGGACTCCTTCCTATTATACTTTCTGTTTGCATTGCTATGGAAAATAGTACTTTATACTCACTCTTTAGTCAGTATAAGATTCACCTCTTATTGAACACATTCACCTCAGATTGCCTGTTCAAAGACTGACTTCAAGGTGCAAATGAAATTTAGATTTTAGATCCCTTTAAATACATGTGCATCTGTGCCTTTGTTTTCTTTAGTGAGAAATATGAAGTAACATGACATTCCACAAATGCAGAGTAGTTCAGATGACAACTGTGGCTTTCTGGAAGTAGTGGGATAAAAGGTTATGAGTGTCATCTGTAGGCTGAACTTAAGTAATTTCAGTAGGGCTCCTTAGGAGTTGGAAGATTCCCCCTTAACAGGTCTGATTTCAGTATCTGGCACAAAATAAGATGGTAAAAATAAGATGGTAAAAATGACTCTCACTGATTAATGAATATACCACACATTCCAAACATTCCAAGTTTCAACCTGACGTAGCCCATAAATTCTCTTGACTAGGCTTTTCTACAGTGATTTCAGATGAATAATAGGGAAAGCTCATGTGTAACCAGGTACATAGCTTAACAAGACATTAAACACAACCTAAATATATCTTCAGTTTTGATTATTGTGAGCAAAATAAACCATATTTTCAACATATTTGCATAAGATCTGTGCTCTGTAAGTTTGTGCCTATATAAAACTACACTAAATCATAGTACTTGGCACTGAAGAACTAAAATCCCAGAGAGAAGTGAAAAGTAATAGTTCAAAAATAATTAATTTTATTAAGTCATTACTTTTCTAGAAATAAAAGTTCCTAAATTTCAGTATTACCAGGAATGAAATGGATACTATTTGCAAGGCCTACCATATGAACCTGTTCAACTCATTCAGTATTTGCATGTGAATGATAGGGAATACCTCTGTCTCCTCCTGCCTCTAAAAGATTATACTTCATTTCTCCTTCACTGGTGGTTGACAGAAAAGCATGCTCCCTTCTTCCTCCTTTCTATCAAAATAAGCTAATAGGCAACTGAGGTGCAGGTGTTTGCTCCCAGTTATAAGAAAGTGGTAGACTGATTCGGGCTATTTTCTCCACTGTTTGTTCATACAGGTGAAAAATGGGGTGAGTGGAGTGTACACTCTTCTTCCTTCTTTTCTGTATAGCTTGAGAAAGCAGAAACTGTGATACATCTTCCAGGAGTTGTATGAATTGCAGTCTATTAAGTCAAACACTGTGGAAGTTTGCCTCAAATTAAGTTAGCTGGAAGAAGCCATGTTTTAGTCATTGCCACCTCACTAGATCAGTATCGATCTGATGAAAGCAACTCTTTCCCAAATTCAGCATCTGTGAATATCACTCTCACCAAACAAGCTTATTGTCAAGAGAATATTAGAGAAAACCCCAAAAAACCCTTCTAAACGAACAAAACAAACAAAATAAAACAAACCAAAACTAAAACCAAACAAACAAAAAATTGGTATTGATAAGAAATTAAGATCAACTTACTTTAAGTTCATCTTACCTGGTGACCAGTTCAGAACAAACCAAAATGATTCTTCATGCAGTATGTGTGATGTGAAGCTCTGGAACTCCCAGCTCCAAATTCTTTAGATACCAAAGGTTTATATGGATTCAGTGGAGGCTCAGAAATGTCATAAAAAAGAGTCTATTGCTTGTTTAATAAAACACATGGGTAATTGATATTGGTAATTTTTGTAAATTATAAAAAGAAGAGTATTGATGAAAAAAATTAAAAGTTTTAATTATTGAAAATATCTAAAACATGCTCACCTATCTGAGTCATAAGATACAGGTTAAATTAAATCAATGCAACCTGAGTTAGAAATGCCGGGGGGAAGATCCAAGCCTCCTGAGACAGTCTATGTAAAAGCCACAGGAAAGAGTTCAATGAACATCTGAAGAGTCTCAGTAGTGAGCAAGGGGCTTTTTGGTGCACAAAGCATATTTGGTGTGCCTGAATTTCTGCCCTCACTTGGAACTTAAACCCTGACTTGCAGCAGACATTTCTTTTCACTGGGGTTCCTGAGTGCCCTGTTGCAGAGCATTAGAACATCAAAGAGCAAAGTTCTGCTGGTGATGCTGCCTTTCGTGTCTTTATTGGTGGAGACAGTGAGAGCATCCTCACCAGCTGGCCAGGATGTGCTCTGAAAAGGGCTTGAAGCTTTCTGTTGAAACAGTTAACCGGAGCCATAAGAGTGCCAGGAGGGCAGAAGAAGGGAACATGATATTCCAGTGACTGAGAAAGAGGAATACTGGTGAGATGTAGGAGCTGTTTGTCTAATCTCTGCAGACTGGGAGGGGG